AAGAAGTGGGTGAAGAGGGTGTGATTTAGAGAGAATTATTTGAATGAACTAACAAAACAATCAGGTCTACATCTTTTCTCAATGGACTGAGATTAAACAGAGCTGGTTAGAGGTTAAGGGGAAATACTCATTTTCAAATACAGACAATGGAAAAATGGACATTCACTAAAATATTCCACTAGCTTCACATCGTCCCAGTCTCATGCAGCAGATCCCTTTGTAGGACAAACGCTAACCACTCTGAACAGCAGACTTTCACATGGCTCCAGGCAGAAGAGAAGGCCCTGCTTAAGTCATGCACTCCACCCCATACATCATTGTAGAAGAGCATCTTCAGCGCCCCTTCATTCACATATAATGAGGATGGATGCTTTAAAAGTGCACTTATTAGTAATCATCCTCTCCATAATCTTTCTTGGCGGTGAGTCACTGAGTGTTTATTCCATTGTCCAATTATTTGAAAATGCTAAGATTGAACTTAGGCTTGGTTAACTGTAAGCACGCAGGAGTCAAGACAGTCTCAACGTTACAGCAAGAAGGCTGTGACTAAAGTTATCACATTTCTGCTCTCCTCCCTCCATTTACGTGGTCTCGAGGCTTTCTCTATTCCAATCTCTAATTTCTCTTCCAACAGTAAGACCTATTGTATAAGCCTTTTACGCCACCTAACATTGGATACTCTCCACTTTCTCCCTAGGCATTGTTTAAAACGGTGCTCTTCCCCAGCCTGAGGGGAACAACGTTCCCTGGAAGATACTGATTTTCAGTTTAGAATCCCAGCTAAGGGTCGAAAAGAACTATCTCCTACCTACTGTAGTCAGTCTAGTTCAACCCCCTGTTTAGATGTCCCACTTGAGCAGAGACTGAATAGAGTACTCTAGTTCAGGCACACACCTGTCTCTGAGAGCAGAGACTGAATAGAGTATTCTAGTTCAGGCACACACCTGTCTCTGAGCTTGCTAATGAAAAATTGCATTGTTAAAACATGTATTCTCTGTGTAGATAAGCACCACTCTACTTAAGAGTCAGTGTTGGGGTTAACCTTAAGGTGAACCAGCTGGCATGATATTAAACATGTCAGTCCTTGTGTAAACTGAATGTTCACTCTTGCTGTACGTTCACAAGAGTTCTAACAGGATATAACTTTCCACTGTAGACAAGTCCACGGTGAAGTTGTTTCCCCTGGTCATGTCAGGCATTTTTGATGCTGTGCTACAGAGGTGGATGCAGGCAGGAAACACATTGCCATGTTTATACTCAATCAAAGATCTGTTGGGGGAGGGGAGGAAAAGTTTAATAAATGGAATGAATCTTTAAACACTAAAATTACAAACACTAAGGATGCCTGCCACGTCAGGTTAGATACATTAGCCTTTGTGATGTAAAGTTTACATGCGTGCTATGCAACTTAAAGATAAACTGCTGCAATAAAATACACTTGATAACCCAAGTTGTAGAGTCTTTAATGATTGTTTAGACTAGGTTCACCAACTATTTAGACTCCATTATCTTTCCTCTAAATGTTGGGGATGGAGGAGGAGTCCATAAAAGAACCAAGCTTATCCCAGCAGAACCAGAGGAAGACACAACCTCTGAGGGGCCAACGTGTTTTTAATCTGTTAAAGATCTCCCATTTTGGAATGAATATTCGCTGGAGGTTTGTCAGAGGTGGATGTCAGAAATGAGGAAACATGCACAAGCACCCACTTCTGCAGCCTCCAGGTTGGCTGTTGTGTATTAGTAGAAGGAATTTCAGAATAGCTGCTATTATACAGTACATGAGATGTCAGGGTAAAACATAAGCAAGCATGCTAAGGTCTTAGGAGCACTCCAGCAATGTGTGTTAGTTGGTAAGCAACATCAGGCAAAGCAAAGTGTTAGCACTGTATGCTAATTAAAAGCACTCAGAAAAACGTGAAGATACAAAGATTGCCCCAACACTTAGTAATTATGCTCTTCATTGGTTGCATGGGAGACTGGGATTCAATACCTTGTCTTGGGCCATCAATTCCCTGACTGATATAGCTGCTAGGAAAGGCCTATGTCACACAAATGGCTCTTGGATTGATTTTTAAGGTGCAGGATTCAGGGCTGCCAAGGGAATCCCACTCTTCCAAAGCCAGAAAAATGGTGATGGTGGTGGCATCATGAGTGTGTGTTATATTAAAAACTTAAGTGAGGAACTTTCAGGGCTATATGAAGAATTCCCCAGAGGAAAGATAAAATATAGTAGGGAGCAAGCTTGTGTAGGAAGAGAATACATGGGATTAACTAAGGGTACGTCTCGACTACATGCCTCTGGCGAGGGATTAACTAAGGGTATGTCTAGACTACATGCCTCTGCTGACAGAGCCATGTAAAATAGGCTACCCGACCTAGACAATGAAGCGGGGATTTAAATATCCCCGACTTCATTAAAATAAAAATGGCCGTCATGCTATGCCGGCTCAGCTGATTGTCGGCACAGCACACGAGTCAAGACGTGGCTTGGTCGACAGGGGAAGTCTTTGTTGACCACTCCTGTAAACCTTGTTCCATGAGGCATAAGGGAGCGGTTGACAAAGGCTTCCCCTGTCGACCTATCTGCGTCTTGACTCGCGCGCTGTGCCAACAATCAGCTGAGCTGGCACAGCGTGGCAGCCATTTTTATTTTAATTAAGCCAGGGATATTTAAATCCCGGCTTCATTGACTGTGTTGGGTAGCCTATTTTACATGCCTCTGTCGGCAGAGGCATGTAGTCCAGACATACCCGGAAAATGAAGCGGCGATTTAAATAATCGCCGCTTCATTTAAATTTACGTGGCTGCCGCGCTGAGCCGACAAACAGCTGATTAGCTGTTTGTCGGTTCAGCGCGGCAGCCATGTAAATTTAAATGAAGCGGCGATTATTTAAATCGCCGCTTCATTTTACTATGTCTGGTAGCCTAAGCTACATGCCTCTGGCGACAGAGGCATGTAGTCTAGACGTACCCTATGATTCTTTTTGACCAGTGATAGACTAGTCCAATTGGTAGTATAAACTACAAGACTTGTATCAGGACACCACCAGTTACGTACACTGGGCTCTGAAGGATAGCCAGCATGCAACACTCTGGCTCAATCACAAGTGATTTTTTTTAAAGACCCAATTTGCAGTCAAGAATGTACCAGCATTGCAGGCTGTGATCAGCCAACATTTAGCCACTCATAACCCGAATCCCTGAAGGAATAGGCAGCTATTTATTTTTTAGCATAAAGCAAAACATTTTCAGATTTTGCTAGACAGAAACCAAAAGATGGTACTAGAATGACCTTTGGCTCAGCAGATTGTACTGAGAACCGTACACACCTCTCCCGTGCTCAGGCTGCATTTACTCCTTACGTAGTTGTCCAGAAGCAGGTCATGGGCATTTCATACCTGGGCTTGTTTAATGATACTCTGACCTAGGTAATTCTCATTCTCTTCACTTGCCAAGTTATTTCCTCATTCTACTCCCACATTGACTCCTTGGATGCCTGAGTTGGTGCATTCCTTGCAGAATGTCTCATTGCTTGAGGCACTATCAGTTCTAATGGCAGCAGGGGTGCCAGATGGGTTAACAAAAAAAAAACTGAACCCCCCCCCCCCGCCAAAAAAAAAAAAAAAGCGCACCGGGAAAAAATTCTGTCAAGGGAAAAAAAGGGGGAGACAAAAAAAAGGGGGGGGAGAGGGAGCCAAAGTTGTTAAGCAAAAGTTGCACCACTCCCTCCAGTTTGGGAGCACACACTAACCACCAATGCACTCACCCCTGCCTCAGACCCAGGCTCGCCTAGTATTCCCCCATTACAATGCACTCACCCCTGCCTCAGAGCCAGGCTCCCCTAGCACTCCTCCATCCCAGTGCACTCGCCCTTCCCCCTGAGCCAGGCATCCCCATGCACTATTGGCATCACTAGTTATTTGAGCCTGTACAGGATCAAAATTTTATCCTCCCCAGTTTGTTTAGCATAATTATCACAGATGGGGCCTGACTCGTGGTATTGAACAATGGCCATACTGCTAATGCCTGGCTTTCTGGGATTTCTTTGCCCAGGATGTAGCTTGGGTGGAGTAGGGGATAAGAGAGCCAGAATTCCAGCTGCTTTGAATGCAGTGTACTGGCATTTTCCTAATGGGTAATTTGTCAAGGTTGTTTTTCATTTGATCATCTCCCCCTCCTTCTAGGGTTGCCAGATGGTTTCAACAAAAATACCAGACACACTTGACATGACATCACAATCTACATTACATCTTATTTAGAAAATACCGAACATTTATATTCCTATTTTTTTAAACCAGACGGAGCCTGCAAATACCGGACTGTCCGGGTGAAAACCAGACACCTGGTAACCCTAAACAGCAGTGAGCTACTGCAATGTTCTTTCAGTCCTAAATGTGCAGTGGGCTACTGCAATGTTCTTTCAGTCCTAAATGTAAAGGGAGAAAAGGAGCACTTTGAGTATGCTTGAGTGGTCCTCAAAGTGATGGTCATTGTGTGTGTGTGGTGGGGGGGCGGGAGGAGGGAAGACCCTGTATCAATCAAGTCTCTCCCTGGAAATAGGAAGACGAGGGAAAACAAGCATTTGTCTTCTCCATTCCCTGTGTGCACCAGTGCAGAGGTCTCTTGCCCTGTAGATCAGCCTCTTAACTGTGAAATAGGCATCTTAATAAAACATGTAAAATATTACTTGCCCTTTACCAACCTGCTATAAGAAAACACAGACCTAAAATTTTGAGGTTTAACAACTGTGACAATGTACATCCCTTTACCTCTCTCTTTTCTTGGAAATTAAAAATTTGTGTGGAACCTTCAGAAATACCAGCCCACAGCAATGATAGCCAGGGAAAACCTTCCCTCTTTGGAAGCAATGCCAATAGTTTGTGTGTTAGGAGCCAAGGACGCTTTAGAAACATGCATGAAAAATACAAATCACACAAGGGGAAAAACAATGCGCTCAGGAAAAGGCACTAAAAGCAGAGTAGAGTTTCTCTGATACACACCTGCATGGGCCGCACCAGTCCGTTTGTTGGTTGAGGCCAAAGCGAGCTCTGCATTTCTTAGGAGAGGCGGGATCTGAACACAGAAGCATGCGTGGCGGAGAGTGGGCAAGACAGAGGCACAAAGAGAAGGAGCAGGAGGAAGAAAAGATGCAACATCATTTCAGCCACTTAAGATAAAACTAATAGACTAAAATCCAATTCTTCAGCAATGGAACTATTCAGACATCACTTTCCTGTAAAAAAGGGATCATTAGGCAAGTACCAGAGAGCTTATACCCAGTGTGTGTGTGGGATATTTGGGAAAGGGCCTCAAATTACAGATGTAGAAATTGTTCTCCCCCACCTGTGGCAGTCCCCTAGCTCAACCACTTTTCTGCAAAGCCAAGTTCAGGCAGTCAAAATTCAGTTACAGGAAACCTAAGAATTCACCTAGAAGTTTGTTGCTTCATATGCTGCAGTCAAATCAGACCACCCCCTGTGTTGAAATCTGTACCTGCTACCTAGTTAAATGGCTGGCCGTATATATTAAAACAGAAGAGAAAAATATTGCAGAAACAGACTGAAAACAAATCACACCAATGAGACCCTTATGGGGCAATTCCATTCTGCTTCCCCAAATTCTTGTGCTAGCGGACAAACTACACCTTGCATGTACTGCCCTAAAGTCCTGTGAAGTGTTGCTGTGTGACCATAGCGGCTCATTGTGATAGGGCCCTATTTTCAGTTAGATGCATGTGAATATTTGCAGTGGTGTAAAATGAGACCTGAGCAGCACTTGTGTACCCCTGTATTATTCACTTTCACAATCATCAACTTCTCCTCCAATGCATTCTGTTAATCAGCAGCTGCCTTCCAGTCCAAAGAGGGCTGCATTTCAGTGGTGGGTGGAATTATTATTTTTACACCACTTTACAGAGTCTTACACTTGTTATTAGGGATGTGAACGACCAGTCGACTATCCGATAAACAAATGCTTATTGGATAGTCGACAGGCTAGTTGACTAGTCACTCCTGCCTTCCCCCCCTTGCTGCCTCTATTAAAGAGGCAGCAAGGGGAGGGGGGATAAGGAGGAAGGGATACTTCAAAGCGGTAGCGCTGTGTGGAGTTTGGGGCCAGACCCTGAGCTCTATGTGACATTGCCGCTTTGAAACACTGCGTGCAGCCCAGGGCCAGCTGGGGTGTCCCCAGACTGCACGCGGCATTTCAAAGCAGCAGTGCCATATGGAGCCCGGGATCAGCTGGGCTCCACAGGGCACTGCTGCTTTGAAACACTGCGGGGAGCCTGGCATCAGGCTGCACGCAGTGTTTCAAAGCGGCAGTGCCGTGTGGAGTCCAGGGTCAGCACCCAGTTGATCCCAGGCTCCATGTAGTGCTGCCACTTTGAAATGCCACAAGGAGTCCGATGCTGGGCTCCCCATGATGTTTCAAAATGGCAGCGCTGCATGGAGCCCAGGGTCAGCAAGGGAGTCCCCAGCTGACCCCGGGGCTCCAGGGCTGTTGCTACACTTCAAAGGCGGAGGTGTCCTATCGACGAATTGAATAAATCGATGAAAAATGCATTGACTATTCGATTAGTCAGTTACTCAATATTTAACATCCCTACCTGTTATCCATCTAGGCACTAATTGAGATGAGAAGTTGACATGCTAGAAGAAATGTGCTGTTGAAGCTTCAGGAGACATGCAAAGATGATGCTGTGACATGATCTTTTGATGTTATAAAGCAAAGGTCCATTAGTACAGATAAGTTAGAAATGCTTCTAAATTTAGGGTGTGATTAACTTTGGATGGTGTGGGTGTGCACAGACATCTCTATATACACACAGTGAAATCTGCACTAGGGTCCACCTCCAATAAAGAGAACTCCGTAGCAAACAACCACATTAAAGTACCCCTATCATTTTCAGTGCAATTGTGTTTGACTTTTAGGCTACTTCTGCTACAAAAAGATTTGTGATGTGGTCCCTGGAGTCTGGGAAAAGAGAAAAGTTTTTGAGCTACACAGAGCTCTTCTTCAGGGCTGGAATCCCTCTTGCTTAGTTTTCATGAACCTCCCTCCTGTGTTCTAATCCACCTGTGTTTTTAAGAACAAGACACTTCTAGAAATAATTTCCCATGTCTTTAAAATATTCTAATTTTTAGCTTTAGAAAGCTGAGTGAATGAGCTAAATCATGGACAGCAAAATACAATACTCAGTGAAATGCTACAGAGTACCATGATAAATTCAGTACCAATTAGTTTACCTGAACTGGAGTCTTGCTGCTTTTCTCTAGCTCGTCTTTTCTTTTTCCCCTGGGATGTAAAAGGAAAATAATATTAGTTTCTCCCCTCAGAGGCCTAATGGAGGTTGTTTGGTATGATGAATACAAAAATTACAATGGACAGTCGGAGGGGGATAAATAAAATTCATGAAGTTATAACAGCATCTGCAGTTGTCCACGAGGACTGAACCAAGCACCTTTGGAACTAAAAGCATGAGCCTCTCCTGCTTACACTGAAAAAACAGGTCTTTTAGTTCAGAGGCAGCAGCAAACTCAGACCTCCCAATGTGACCGCACCAGGCTAATGTGTACATCTCCCTTTCATTGATCACAGCTGATGCAATGAGTGGCCTTGTATAAAACCAGGCCTCTATCTCTTTCATTTGATTGGCCACTTGCCCATCAGTAATCCACACATTAGGAATGAAAGGGGCGTGTGGATGCACTTTTAAAACTATGGTTGATAACTTCAGCAAAAGGTTGCTGTTTAAGACTCTTAAGGAAAGGCTGGTTTTGAGATACATGTACAGCACTTCCCCTCTGTCATGGTTAAAGTACAGTTTATCAAGGAGTAGAGAACACCAGCCTGTGTGGTGTAAAAGGCATAAGGAGAAACCACTGCTTCATTTTCTGTCTGATTTAGTGCCACCTGGCTTCACAGATGCCACAGATTATCTGGTCTTTGACGTTCATTTTGAAGAACCTTGTTGAGAGTCAGGGACAGCAGACTTGACAAGGAAGTAACACCATGTTTTTAAATAAAAAGGAAGCAAGACCGAGAGTTAAGAATGACTGTTAGCACTTCTCTGAATGGGAGAAAAAGTCTAAGGCAGCACAGCGTGGGCTTTCCTTGGCCAGCCATATTTCCAAATGAAAGCTCATGCCAAACCCAAATCATTTAGCCCACAAATCAGACTGAGCAACTTAAGGGTCTTTCAGAAGATAGCCCTCAGCTGGACCAATGGACTAGCTGAATGAAATGCTGCTTCTTTTATGCGTATAAATAAATGCCACCTCAACACAGATGGAGAGACAACGTGAACCCTCATGGAAAGAGAACATCCTGGTAACCCTTTCGGAGAAGTATTTCAGTGTATACAGGAAGTTACGGGATGCAACACCCCATTTTTCAGAATTCACCAAACAGCAAATCAGCATATTCCTCCGCACACGCAGTCATCTATACTGTGTGTAGACAGACAGGTTGGGGCCCATGGGGCCCCGAGGTGCCTTGATGGTTTCTGAAAGTGAGAGGGGAAGTGAAGGAAGCTGTAAGAAGCCTCCTGCTTTTGGGCCCCCATGCAGCAGAGTCCCCATCATGGCTTGACCCTTTGACAGGGACGGGTCTGAAAAACCATAAAAGCCAGGGGCTCCTCTTGCACAGCAGGAAACTTGGAGATTAAATTTCTTCTTCCTGAAGCTCCTCTTAGAGGCATGTGCTTAAAAGCATGAGTAAACCAAAAGGGAAGGCCAGGCCCCCGGGCAAGCTGTGGGGGGTGACTGATCTGTACTCCCAAAAGGGGCAGGACTTCGGGTGCAAGGAGTGAAGCCAGGGCAGCTGGTCCTCCCTGATGCTCAGACTGCAATGCCCCCCCACCTGCACCATCTGGCACATGCTGTCTGGGGCTCTGCAGTGCACCACATGGAACTCTGAGAAGTCCTGTGCAGATTCAGACTAACAAGGCTGCTCCTCTGATACGTGTCCACATGGAATTGCAGTTGCTGCTGCGGCAGCCATGTCCAGGAGTTCTGGGCCCCTTTGAATTGCCAGGCCCCAGGGCAGTTGTCCTCTTTACCCCTCTCCCCCCCATCAGCAGGCCTGGGGAAGGCTATAACTAAATAGGTAACATTCTAAGAAGAGGCCAGAACTTCCTCAACTGGCATGAGGGAGCGACTAAAAATGAGACAGGATGAGCAGTTATGTCAGTGCTGAGGACGCTATTGACAGATAAGTAACTAGCTGTAACACTCTGAGCACCTGTCCCGGACCTGAGGAACAGCTCTGTGTAACCTCAGACGCTTGCCTCTCTCACCTCCAGACGCTGGTCCAATACAAGGTATCCCCTCACCGACCTTGTGTCTCTAGGTATTTCATAATCAAGTCCTTACAGAAGGAAAAGCCCCAGTGTGGTAGGTCACAGACTCTAGTCACAGGAGAATGCAATCCTCAGTCAGACTAGCAAAACACTTAAACAAAAAACAGAGAGGTGATGGTGGAATTTCTTCCATTCCAAGGCTTAGTGCTCAGTACATGGAATGGAAAATGACATGGCCAAATTATGTATTTATACAAATACTCCCTTTTTCCATCTGAACATTCCAGTCCCCTCGAGTGAAGCCACAGCACGTGTTTTTAAAATAACTAGGAAAAAATTTGCTCAGCTATCTATGGCCTGTCTTTTATGTTCCCCAAATCTACTATTTTCCAGAATATATTTTCCTGATTTTGCAATGTCCTGGAATGCAAGATCGTAAGCACTTTGATTATTCCATAACAGGCAGCCAAGATGGTGCATAAGATTTGCATCTCATTTAAGTTTAATAAAAGTGACTGAGTTTAGAGTCTGCACAATAGCTTTTACTGTGCTCAAACACCTTTATTATTAGCAAGGTGCTCACACTGCTTCCCTGATCATCAGGGCTCGAGAAACTATACAATCTACTCGCCCGTGGTGAGTAGATTTCAGCCACGCACCCCGTTTCCCGGCAGCGCACGCATGCGCAATGTGGCTCTTGCGCATGCACAGTGCGGGGCTGGCGAGTGGCTTTCGCCATCATTTGTCAAGCCCAGCTGATCATTACAATACAAGTACAGTCAAACTACGTTATGTAATGCTAGCTTATGATCACATCTACATTACAAATTCAGCTGCACTGAAGGATCTGGTTCGAACACAGCGATAACGTCTCCTTTGGACTAAACTCCATCTGAGCAAAAAGGAATGCTGGCATTTTAAATCTGAGCCACTCCCTTCAGTGTCCGATGCCAGCTGCCATGGTGGCGCAGGCTTGACTTGTAGGTATAAATTGCTGGATTGTTCTGATTGCTCACCTTCAAGAACACTAGCTGGGAGCATTAGGAGTAAAGACACCAGCACTACTGGGCTGGTCCTAGACTTGACTTTTTCAATACCTCAATGGAAAAAACAAATTGTCCATTTGCTGCAATTTCTCCATGTCTGTTTGTTCTGTTACAGCATATCAGTTATGTCCAAATGACCTAATGGGCATTGACTTAAAAGCTACATTTAGTCCACACTGTATTCTGAAGCATGGTGAAAGGATTAAATAAATTCCACAGCCAGTGAGCGATTCCATGGCCATGGAAGTGTGAAAAGCTCAGGGCTCCTGGAATTCTGCAGCTAACCCTGGAGTGGGTGGGTACAGAGTGGCAGACAGCTATACGTTCTCACTGCTGCAGAGCCAAGTAACATTCGCTGCAGAATTCTCTTACCCTTGCCGCAGAAACTGGCCCTGAAGTGCCGCAGAATTCCAGGGGCCCTGAATATACCTGAGTGTGTTCACGGGCTGAAGAGCCTGAAGACTGAAGGAGCAGAGTATTAAAATAGTAACTGGCCTCTTTAAATACATCCAATACATACATAGAAGGTATACAGTGCTGTCAATGCCCCGGGCTTTACTGCAAGTCTCACCATAGTTGTTTTAAAAAGTCCCAGCTCACAGAATCATGGTGTTGTGAGAGAGTGTCTCAGCAGACAAAAATAACCCTCGTGGTTGCAAAGAGAAGCTTGAGATCATGAACCTTAAAAGTTCAAACCCTAAAAGGCAAATAAAAAGAATCCCAAGTGCATTATTTCCAAAATATCAAGAGTGGTGTATGGGCATGGGTGTATGTGTGAAGGCGGAAGGGATTACTCTGTTTAAGGCCTGACTCTTGAATTATGGGTGTGTATGTGGGGGCGGAGGGGATTACTCTGTTTAAGGCCTGACTCTTGAATGGTTGGGGCTGGCAAAGCTGGGTATAGGGGAGATCCGAAAGGAAATTAAAGCACTTTAAAAGACTGACAATTCAGTACGACAGGTTGAACTTCTCTCTAGTCCAGAACACTCTGGTCCAGAAACATCCATCATCTGGAATGATTTTAGTTAGCCAGATGTCCACTTTTCATGGGTGTGCCGTTTCCCACGGTCCCATAAAGTTTGTTTACAGCTACCAGTCCTGTGTCTCAGGCTACGTCTACAGTGCCCTCTGTTGCGCAAAAAATATGGAAATGAGGTAAAGCGTGGAATATTGCCACACCTCATTTGCATAATTAATGAGGCCCTGTTTTTGCGCAAGAGGCTTTTGCACAAAAAGGAGCAGTCTATATGGCTCCTTTTTTTGCAAAACCCCCCCTCTTGCACAAGAGCCGTTCTTCCTGAAAAAAGTGGAAGAATGGCTCCTGTACAATAAGGGGTATTTGTGCAGAAAGGAGCTGTGTAGATGGCTCCTTTTTGCACAAAAATGGAGTCTAATTAATTATGCAAATGAGATGTGGTGATATTTATGCTTCGCCTCATTTGCAGTTTTTTTGTGCAAGAGAGGGCAGTGTAGATTTAGCCAATGGCTGCGTCTAGACTGGCATGATTTTGCAGAAACACTTTTAAAGGAAAAGTTTTTCCATTAAAAGTATTTCCGCAAAAGAGCGTCTAGATTGGCACGGATATTTTTGCGCAAAAGCATCCATGCCCAGTATAGATGTGCTTTTGCGCAAGAAAGCTCCGATGGCCATTTTAGCCATCGGGATTTCTTGCGCAAAAAATTAAGGTGCCTGTCTACACTGGCCCTCTCGCGCAAGTATTCTTGCGCAAGAGGGCTTATCCCTGAGCAGGAGCGTCAAAGTATTTACGCAAGAAGCACTGAATTCTTACATTAGAACGTCAGTGCTCTTGTGCAAATTCAAGTGGCCAGTGTAGACAGCTGGCAAGTTTTTGTGTAAAAGCACCTGCTTTTGCGCAAAATCTTGCCCGTCTAGACACACCCTTAGTGTTTTATGCTGCTATTTAGCTCTAATTCACCCTTAAATGTCCTCAAACAGCCCAGTAATCAGTGGAAGTGTTGGTAATGCTGCTAGACAATATTGGCCCCCCATGATCCAGAAAATTCTCTGGTTTGGCACAGGGTGCCGGACTAGAGAGGTTTAACCTGTAGTCCCATCCTTATGAGTCACTAACGCTGAATCAGCAAATCCCTTCTGGTTGCGTGCCAAAACAGATTCTGCAAAATGGCAACCCTAAACTACCCTAAGAGGTATCTTCTTTCCTACAGTATGTAGACATTAGAGAACATGGTTAAGATAAATTCACATGCTGCCTGTGTCTCTAAACACAATAGACCATTACGGCATTATTTTAACTGAATCCTGACCTTCTCTTTTCCCCAAATTTTCAATGGAATTATTGTACATATGTATAGTTCTACTCACATTAGCATTGGATCTAAACTGCTGAACAATGTATTCCTTAGCGCCTTAGTGATTTACACCAGCAGCAGGTTTGGCTCATTATTTTTTAGTGAACACAGCAAAATGCGCCCATGCCCAGCTGAGGCGCTGTGCGATTTTATTAGCACAACTGGCCATTCCTCATAACTTCCCTTCCTATGGCTTGTCCCCTTACTGCATCACACAGAAAAGGAGACACAAATCTTTTGCCAAAGGGATTGTGCTTTTTTATATTTCTGTGCAGTGCTAAGCTCATTTTGGAAACCTAAGAAAAGCAGTGCATGCTAAAGGAAGTCTAGGTTAAGCTGAACAGAAGAGCTTCTGTCTGATTGGCAAAATTCTGTGCTGCTGATGTATCACTGCAGAGAAGAGGTTCTTACTATACAAGATTTGGTAACAACAGCAATGACCACAAATGGGGAAAGGATGAAGTATTGTTAAGGACATCTTGCTTTATTGACTCAAAATGCCTAACTCCCTTTGTGTCCCAAGGCGTTCTATTAACAAGCGCACCAAGAACAGCTGGAACAAATCTGTCTTGTGTGAAAGAGCTGCCAGCAGTGCTGGCTTTGACCTGTGACTTCTTATATGACTTCTTGTGGTTTGAGTGAAGGTGGAAAACTCCTAATCGCGGTGAGTTTTTCTTCAGCGTGGGAGTAACTGTATTTCCTATCTTGTATCAAGTCACGTGCCAGGGCGTTGACCTAGATTTCTCCTCCTCATTTGTGTTACAGAGCTTGGGAGACAGAAAAGCATTTGTTGAAGGTACAGTGTAGGAGGGGAAAAAACCCACCACAAAGCGTCCGTTTCCTGGCTTTGGACACATTATCCCAAAACAACCTTGGATGTGCCAATGAGCAGACTGCTTGGGTCTGGTTGGCTAGAAGAAGATATGAGGTTTACTGAAGATATGCAGGTAGGGTAAGAGAACGCTTCCAGAGCACACACAGCAGCTTTCCTTTTGAGGAGAAAGGATTTCAGTGAGAGAAATGCAGAATGAGGTGGCTTTGTTAAAGGAAGCATTCCATCTTGGGGTGGAAAGAAAAGCAGCTTGCTGTATCTGAGGCTGCTGGTATTGCTCTGGCTCTCATAACGCTGCTGACTGCTGCTTCGGATACTGGTTTAGCTACTGTCCCCAAGAAATACATGCCACTGAGAATCCTGAAGAGCTATGAGCAAAATTCCCCCCCATCGTATGTTCCGTCAGGAGAGCCTTGGGCTGAGTTACTGCAGCACCACAGGAAACAGGTGCAGGCTTATGGAATGAGGAGCGAACAGCCTTTGTGGGGAGCAATAAGTGGTGGTGTGATGATTTATCATCATCATCACTAGGAGAAGGCAGCAACTTACGGTGGTGTGATGATTTATCATCATCACTAGGAGAAGGCAGCAACTTTTTTTTTTTAAAAAGCAAGGTTTCTATTGACAGCAATGGGCTTTGGCTCAGATCCCAAGCTAACTAGTGAGGCATTTCTATCTGGGATCAAGACAAAGACTAGAAAACAAAGTTGAATGTGGATGTTTATGTAGAATTCTTGTCCCTATAAAACTGCACTTCACGGGTTGCCTCTTAAATGATCATATACCTTACAGAAAATGGAGAGATTATTTATTTTTAGAATGGCTCTTCTCAAATGCACCATAGATTAGAAAGTAAAGGGGTAGGGGGAGGGGACAATGTTTCAGACAGATAAGCTCTACACCAGAGCTTGGCTACTGGAAGCTTGTATTCACCTGAATGTTAGTAGTCACAGAAACATTCCTGAATCATCAGGAGAAAAAAAAAAAATCAAATTGCGAACACTAAGAAAATGGTGCTAAAGGGAAATCAGGATTCATGTGTCTGTTTTAAAATACTTTAACATTACAACAAGCCTTTGTGTTTCAAAATTCTCCCTTACTTGATTCCAACAGCTTCAGCTTCTCCATATCTGCATGGCCTAGCTCTGCTCCCACTGAAGCTGACGGTAAAAGTTCCCTTGATTTCAACGAGAGCAGAGTTTAGGCCGATAGGGAGCATTTGATGGTGAAAGTTCCCTTGATTTCAATGAGAGCAGAGTTTAGGCCGATAGGGAGCATTTCTGAGAATCCCATCCTCTATAAATAAAACAACCTATTCAGATTTCTAGACAGAACAAAACAAGTAATATCATGGCTGTCTAGTGAATTAATTCCGAATCACTAGTGAGGCTGGATGTTAGTATTCTAGATATCTAATCAAGAAGAGAGCAAACATGCAGCTTCTAACTGCTTATCAGTTCTAGGTAGCAGAGCTATCCAGAGATAGGTTAACATAAGAACAGCCATACTGGGCCTGACCAAAGGTTCATCTAGCCCAGTATCTTGTCTTCCAACAGTGGCCAATGCCAGATGCCCCTGAGGGAGTGAACAGAACAGGGAAGCCAAATGTGATCTCTCCCCCATCACCCATTCCCAGCTTCTGGAAGCCAAATGTGATCCCTCCCCCATCACCCATTCCCAGCTTCTGGCAAACAGAGCCTAGGGACACCATTCCTACCCATCCTGGCTAATAGCCATTGATGGGCCTAACCACCATGCATTTATCTAGTTCTTTTTTGAACCCTGTTAAAGTTGTGGTCTTCACAACATCCTCTGGCAAGGAGTTCCACCAGTTGACTTTACAGGTTGATAGGTTCTGAGACTCTGGCTTTGTCTACACTGATAGTAATAACATGTAGGGTATGCATAGCTACAGGCTATATCCATATTGCATAGTGTAGCTACACCCATTGGGGAAAGGCTCCACTGGGCAGCAGATCCACCGACAGGAGAGGGGCAGGAGGAGAGGGAGCAAGGAGGGCATTTGCCCCAGGGCCCGGTGATTCAAAAGGGTCTGGGGCTCCCAGCTGCCACTTCCACTACCATGGCAGCTGGAACCCTGGGGCCTTTAAATCGCTGCAAGAGCTTTTTGGGCTGGGGATGGAAGGGTGCACTCCAGGTAATACTGAGGGTTGGCTGCTCCTTCCAGGAGCACAGAGCCACCCCAACCACACCTTGCCAAGGGCCTGGGAAGACTGCTGGTCCCTCGGATGGGGAAGCAACAGGACAAGGCTCCAGCATCTGGGAGGCAGCAGGATGCTGTATTGCTATGGGAGCATGGCTTGGGTGTGTAGAAAGTCACGTGTGGTACATACACCAGAACCATGGGGTATTTTGACTCACCTAAGCAATGCTTTTCCAGCTGTACTGCTATTTATACCCGCGCTAGGCAGCCATGTCGTGTATGTACTCTACATGTCACCCCATGTGTAGACACAGCCTATTCAGTGTGCTTCACGCCCCTCCCCACTGGTTACGGCAGAATATGCTTCACTTTCCCAACAAGCAATGGGAAAAGCTGCTCTGTGTGGAATCCAGCAGTCACAGCGGAGATGTTCACAGCGTATTTCTAGCTGTTCTATTCAGCAACCTTATTCTGGACACTCGTTTGAAATGGTCATTTAAAATAAAAACACCTGCCTGTGGTATCCCTGTCCTGACAGGAGCATCACAGCAGAGTTAGGCTTAGTCCACAGACTGTCCTTCCAGAGATCACATCTGGATGCTCCTGTTTTAGTTGAACACTTTGAAGATAACATGTTTGAACCCCTTTAGAATCCTAGGACAGGGTAAAGGTCTAACAGACCAGTAAATCTATCACCTTGCAAGTGCAGCGTACAATCTCTCATTAGACATTGTCCATATGTTGCTGTAGTTCATACCTTTACTTATGACAGCAGCCTCATGAATGGATTGAAAGTTAACCCAGACAAGCTGCTATAAGGCCAGGACTATAATCTGTACAATGACTATCATTATCTCCACTGTTGTGGAATTCTCTCCTAATGAATGGCAATCCAAACCATGTTGGAACAAGTCTAAAGGTCACCAGCTCAGCTGGGAATGAAGGTGCCATAAGAAAATCCAGGAGAGGATAACATCATGGTAAACGGAATAAGAGTGAAGAAACAATAAGGATCCTATTTGAAATTCCCCAAAGCTCATTAAAGTTAAAAAACTTTCACTTGTTACAGTATCTTTATAGCTAATTAACCATACTGGTTAATAGTTATATATGTGTGGGAAATACAACAATCAGCTTGTGAATTCTATTTTGCGGTCTGTATAAATTTAGGAAATAAAAATATTTTGTGTTTCTGACATTATACAGAGACCGATATTTCCAGTAACCTCAGAGCAGGGACTGATGCTCACTCAGCACTAGACCTGCGTCTGTACATTAGACCAGTGTGAACTTATAAAAGGACTTTGTCTTGTTTCAAAATGGCATGAATCAGGACTAACTCTTGTGACATCAGTGGAGTTACTCAGGAGTAAGACAGGCTTAAGTGAGAGAAGAATCCACCCCAGAGCAAAACTATACTGATGTTACATGTCACGTCATTCAGTAGGAATATGTCTAATTTGGTTAAATAAACAGTATAAGGACAGAGGAGAGAATGCTTATTAGCCAGTACGGGAGTTCATCTACAAAGCCTGAATGCTCTCCACAGTTAAGGCACTCTTGAAGACCTACTGCCACCTACAGTAAATCTCCTGACAAGCACAATAAAATAGAAGGAAAGTAAAAAAAACGTTACCCCTAACGTCTCCCTACTTGTCTGCTGGAAAGTAAAAAAACGTTACCCCTAACGTCTCCCTACTTGTCTGCTGGTCTGTCTTTAGACTGTAAACTCCTGAGAGCAAAGACTATTCCATCTTACCAGCAAGTACGTGCTACTATAAAAAATAAAAATAAAAAAGGAAGTATTTAAATCATAACATCCTCACATGGGAGGCAGCCCATATTAAGGGAGAAGGGGATAACCAAGTGAAAATCCAAGTCATAAAGCTGATCCCTAAGGAATTTGGGAAAAGGGCCCAACAAGCACTACAGGAGACCTTCACCATTCGCAGTGGATGTGTTCCTGGCACCACCATGCATGGTGACATTTGCAAATATTGGTAAGCGCCCCATGGCTCCCAAACTCGTCACAGGGCTCGGGAGCTAGAGGGTCCTCACCATGGGGAATAGGAGCCAAGGGGGTTCTCCCAGCCACCACAATCCCCCCCCTTCCCGCAGGGACAGGAGACATCGGCAAATATATGGAACTCTGAATAGCGATGTTGCGAATCGGGAGGGTTCCCTGTATAGTGAGTATTGTGAAGGTCATTGCAATTCTCTCTCTATGAATTTCTTAGGCTAAAACAAGGGTTCCCAAAGTGGGGGACATACCCCCCTGGGGGGGGCATGAAGAAATTCCAGGGGGGCACGAGGCAACCCAGCCACACACGCACCAGTCAATCCCACTCTAACTTTTGCTGCTATTTTTTTGGGAGCGGGGGCGTGATGCCAAAAAGTTTGGGAACCACTGGGCTAGAAGTTCTCTAGAACTTTCATTCAGAGGCTGAGATTCCCTCCTTTCCTAACCTTCACCCCACCTTAGTAAATGGATCTCAAAATGTTCCATTCTGCAGACCACCAGGAAATGCTCCTCGCTTGGCCATGGACCATAGATGGAAAACCACTGCATAAGGCCACCATTGGAGCATATTCCCACAGGGCAAATATTGCCAAAGACCACTCACGTCATTTAATGATAATTTTGATTTCTGCTTAGTTGTAATATGAACCAGGTTATTTTTATAAGAGCTTCTACCTAAGACTGTAAGTTGGCAAACCACCTAACTTGTTAAAAACCCATCATTTAGCTGTTGGGAAACATGACATTCTTGCCAAAAATACCCATTAATCCAAAGCCAAAAACGTTAGGTACATATTCCAATGCCTATGGGAATATAAACGTCCTCCTCTTTATTACCTATCTGCACCAGAGCCATGGGGCACACCAGCATTATCAGGACACATGCTCTCAGGGACAGGAGCTAAGCAACGCAGGCAACATTCAAGCTCAGCTGCAGGTTTTGAAACATGCGGTCAGGTTGGGGCTTTTACTCTATAGCTGCATTAAGCACTCACATAGTTGTCTCTAGCAGACCAGCCTGGATAGAGCTGCATGTGAAGCTGCCGTTCCTTTCGGGCTAGTTCATAGTACTTGGCCTGCTCCTCCCGTGATAGTGCGTGCCACTGCAATAACAACAACAAAAACAATCAATCAGTTGTGAGATCCCTCAGTGTATTTCATCACTATCACTCTGCTAATCCGAATGAGAGGAGGGCTAGATGGGGTCTCCTTCCAATATCCCTTGTGTAACACCCTTCCTGTCAGATGTATGTTGAAGGCTGGGTATTCACAGTGGCATAAAGATAATATACACACCTTAAAATGTGAGTAGCATGCTACCTGCTTAAGCAAAACACTGCTGTGGGATGCAAGGTAGGGATGTTAAAAATCAGTTAATTAAATAGTTTAGTAACCTCATGAATTCTTATCAGTTAGTCGACTAGTCTATAGTTCTCAGGGGCGGGGCTGGCAGCCCGTGCACTCCGGCTTCATTCCTGAGGAGCCCTCTGCCACTCCGCGCTGCTGCCTCCAACACAGAGGCAGCAGTGTGGGGTGCCAGGCAGAAGCTGGTCCACAAGGGGAGACCGTTTAAAAACCGACTCCCCTCGCGGACTGGCTGCCTGTCACCCTGTGTTGCTGCCTCTGATAAAGAGGCAGCAGTGCAGGGTGGCAGCAGCCCCTGTCTAAGGGCGTCTTAACTCCTGGACCCATTGCAAGCCAGGACTGAGGTGGGCTGCTGGCCAGCCTGCTAAAAAAATTATTGGGGGAGGGGTGGAAGGGAGAGAAAGAGGGAAATACATGTAGTCTATAGCATTAACTTATAAGCTTTTGCTTATCAGTTAAGCATCTACACTATTACATCCCTTATGCGAGGCTGACCCTTAGTGTGACTAACTGGCTTCCCCAGATTCCGAAGGGTGTGAAGATTCTCTATGTAGTAGTGGCGCATGCAGCGCACTTCACCCTAGCCTTTTCCCCCCGTTGTATTTTATAGTACCCGAATGGACCCATAGGAGGTCACTCCTCCCCCCACTGGGGACCAATAATCATAATACCCCTTCAGTTAGGGCCTTGTGTCAGAGTGGTTCATTACCACTAGATCCCTGATGTGCTTCCACTCCTCTGCCCTCATATAGCAAAAGGGCGTTTGTAACCATTCATTTCAGTCACAGTACTTAAAGGCACCTACTCAGGTAGTTTTTAAATGTTATTTAAAGAGCACTTAATAGGAGAGAGACCTTCCCATGGTTTTCATCTCTCTAACGACCACCCCAATCACTCCTACTGTTTGCTCATCTAAACATTTTATTCTGTGGAGTGGCTAGTACCCAGACCACGTTTTTAAAAACACTGATTTGCCCAAAGCTCCATTGATAGTAGCTTTGTTAAGTAGCACTTTAGTTGTCTCTTTCTATGGGATTATGAAGAAGCTTTGCTTAGGACAGTGGTGGGCAACCTGTGGCCCCCATGCGGCCCATCGGGGTTCCATGTGTGGCCATGAGACATTTTGTTTACCATTCCCCACACATAGGCTTGGCAGATCACGCTCATCTCCATCAGTGTAATTTTTCCCCAACCAGTAGTGACAGACATGTAAAGCAAGGGCATGTGCAGTGAGGTGCACGCTGATTGCACACATCACTGACTCAGAGCTGTGCATTCCCCCTATATCCAAAGTGCCGCTGCGGTTCACTCAGCACACCCTGTAAATTCTAGGTGCACAAGCACAGTTAGCAAAACTGCCCTATCCTGGGAGATCATCTTCGTTATGACAATCTTGCAACCCACTGAGATGAGACTCCTGTGGCCCACTCACTAGCCTAGGGTGCGTCTACACAGCAGCATTATTTTGGAGTAACGGCCGTTATTCTGCAATAACAGTGTGAGTGTCTACACAGCAATTCCATTATTTTGAAATAAATTCAAAATAACGGACGGCTTATTCCGACATCTGTAAACCTCATTCCATGAGAAATAATGCTTATTCCAAAATAGCTATTTCGGAATAGCAACAGTGTGGATGCTCCACTGCTGCTATTTCAAAATAGCTCCTCCCCAGGTCCATTCACTAACTAAATTTTGAGACTTCCCTGTAGTGTAGACGTGTTATTTTGAAATAAGCTATTTCTGAGTATTTCTTCTGGAATAGCTTATTTCAAAATAAGCATGCCGTGTAGACATACCCGTACGTTGCCCATTGCTGACTTAGAAGCATGCAATATATTCTGTGCTCTTACCCTCCTTCCTAAAATCTGATTGATAGCGGCACTTTCTTTCAGGGTGCACTCGGCAATCACTTTTGCCCGCATTTCTTTCATATACAACATGAAAGCATTCAGGGGCTTCTTGATAGTGGGCTTCTTGGCTTCCTTCTCTCTCTTTGGTTCTGGTTGGGGTTTCCTTGCAAGAAACAAAACAACAGTCAGTAACAATCATGATCTTCCATCTCAGCCATTGTAACCGAACAGTAACCAGAAGAACTTGATTCCCCATGAATATATTAAATACTAAAACACTTGACCTCAAACCTCGATTAATGTGTATTTTATGCAATTAGGGCATGGATTCTTTAACAATCATGCCCATCATTACTCTGGCACCTTTCGGTTGCTAGGGCAACCGCATAGCACCACCAGGCTACTTATCAAATCGACAGAGTTACCAATGTTCCATGCCTGGCTTCCACAGAGTTGTACCACCCAAAGTGTCAGATAAACAGAGGAATAATTGAGACTAGGACTAAATAGTTAAGGAGACCATTTTGATGGCCCCACCTTTGTCTCAAGATGTGTTGACTTACATGCTCCGGTCGTAATGATCCATGTCTTGTTTCCCAGAGTGGGGTACGATGGCCGGATGAGGGATTCCAGTAGTATGCATTCCAGAGCTCAGCATCAGGGGATGTGTAAACCTGCAAGAGTGGGGGCGTGTCAGTGATCACTGGAACTTCCCATTTAGTACAACCCTCCCACGACAGATGGATTCAGCTCTTAAAGGAGAATTCAGATGTGAGATTCAGCTGGGTACTACCCTTTCTATCCGTACTCCTGCCAGGCAGATGGAGAACACACCTTGGTTCACTAGATGGCGATCTTTGAGTGGTTTTTAAGTCACAGGAACATGCTACGCAGAAGTAAACAAAGCAAATCACTGAGATATATCCCTTAGCATATTCAGATCTCAAATGTCATAAGGAAATCATTTGTCTCGAAATAACAGTAAGGGACCATGTAGGGTTGCAAAGGTGCTGTAGCTCTGCAAAGCCTAATCCAGAACTTTGCCATCACTGCTGCTGCCCTAAAGTTTCTGAATCAATGAAAACGAAGGGGAAGCGTGCACACTTTGCTTTGGGTCTTTGATGCTTTTCCATGGCTTCCTCCATCAGCGCATCCTTGCTGAGTAATCCTCTGTCATGATGACAGTGGATGAGCGGATAACAGAGTAGCCAAATTGATTGTAGAAAAGATTTGGAACGGCAATCAGAATCCAGGAGGTTTTTATAAAAATTAATCTGCAATGTAATCTAGCTTTACAGAGATCAACAGCTTTTTTTTTTTTTTAATGGGCATTTTCAGATCTCAGTTGTCACAGTATTTTTGTTAGTTTAAAATAAATGGGCGGTCCTGGGATACCTTAGAGACTAACCAAAATATATGGTATCATGAGTTTTCGTGGGCAAAAGTCGCTTCATCAGATCAATTGGAGTCTTAGGGTTGGTTTTGCCCATGAAAACTCACGATTCCATATATTTTGTTAGTCTGTAAGGTGCCACAGGACCACTTGTTTTTAATGGTACAGACTCTAAACAACTACCCTGCTGACATTTTTATTAGTGTTACAATAAAAACCTAAGCCACACCAACATTTGGATTTCAGTTAGGATACCCATATATGAGAACAATTTTTTTAATAGAAAAAGCATGAGAACAATTAAATCTGAAACCTTTGGAGGTGCACCCAAGACCCAGCCCTAGCAACCTTATCCACCAACAATGAGAAATGAGATCATAAGCGGTCTTACTAGCTTACAAGCTTCATTAGCTCAGTGTACATTCTTGAGGTTATAACCAGCACAGCTTTGCCAAGCTTGCCATTTTATGGCTGGAGATTGAGACAGCAAGTATCGCCCCAGGAAATAAACAGTTCATGAGATACATTGTCACAAAACAAAAGAAGATGTGTGATTTGATCCACTGGCCAAAGTGTGAAGTTTGATCCTTATCCAACAAGGTGTTCTTTCTTGTCTGCAGTATTGCAAAACTTTTCCCACTCTAGAGCATAAGTGGAAATGCCAACACCAAGCAAGAAGAGGCTTTTGGGCAACTAAGGAGGCCTGTAAACTCATCTTTATTATTTTATATTCAGATGCTCAGAGAGGAGAAGAGGCCTCTGGCAGCATGGTGGAAAACTAAAGTAATGTGGTTGACTATTTTCCTGCCACAGTTCCAGGGATAAATCCCCGGGGAATGCCTTCCACAACCCTTTTGAATATTATCCCCTACATATCATGACAACAAAAAGCAGAAGCAAAAGCTGGAGATGCGAACAAATGTTGCTTCAACATAAACTTCCATGGGGCTTAACCTATTCTAGCTGAAGCGATCTACAAGAGCATAGGGGCTTGCTGTTGGCCAAAGGAAGAATGCAAGCGCTTATAACAAACTCTTCACTATTCTGTCCAAACATGTTTGTGAGTGCGCTAGTGCTATGTAATTGGGCCAAATCCACACTTCAGGGGCAAACTGTGTACATAGGCATGTTTGTGCAATGTAGTGCACTCAATGGGAACTGTACACATGTATAGGAAGGGGAGTTAGGCCCAGCATGCTCATAAATCTGCCAAGGACACTGCAGTACTCAAATGTCCTAGGCTTGTGTCACAGAACGCAACTTGCTCTGTATATAAGATTGATTATGTTCTAGCGGCTAGAACTTCAGCTACTCTAAGCTGGCAGAGGTGAACTGAGGTCAATGGAACTACACTGTTCTATATGCACTGAGTATCTGACCCTAGATTTTTAAGTTTTGTGGGGAGGCTCTAAAGGTGAGCAAGGAGATAGTCTGGCAACTCCTCCTCCTCATCCTACGGGAATGCAAGGAAGTGCAGCAGGAGATAAATGGAACTTAAAAGGCTCAAGATGTTTAACCTTTGTAGTCATGGGGACAAATAAAAATCACTGGTTGTGATCATGCTCCCCACCCGCTTTACAACAGTACTGAGAACCAGTAAAATATGTCAGTCTCTGCATAACCCCGTCCATTACACTGAGGAAAGGAACATTTCCATCGCTAGGAAAGGTTACAGTTAAAAGTATATAAAAACTGGCTCTCATTCAATCTGTATAATATCAACAGGGGGGATTTTTTTTATATTTAATTTTTTTACCTACCAAATCTTTCTGTGGCTTTTCTTTGGAGAAAAGTGTTTTTATGATTTTTAGAGACACTCGACTAAAAGCAAAATTCTTTCCCTGCTCCTGCCACTTGGAAGCTTGATAGCCCCTCCCTGGCTGTTGGCAGTCTGCTGTAAGCTTGCATGGCACAAACTGCAAGCTGCGAGACCAGCAGAGCTGCTGTCTTGCCTCACACAGCTCATACTTACCTGGAGAAAGTAGCCCCAGCAGAGAGCGCTGACGAATACGGCTGTCTAAATCCACATGACGGGAGCGGATAGACAGACTGGCTCTGCCTGGGATCAGGAAGAAAGAGTCTATAAAGTATCTACATCTGTGTGGTTTTTCCTAAAAATATCCTCTATAGTTGGACTCATTGCTACTCATGGAGGTGAAAAGCCTTTAGTTGCTCCAGCTGCAAGTAAATGCTCGTGACATACATTCTTTTCCAACCTAAGGGCAGATGGACCGGACTGCAATGTAATGCAGATGGACAGGACTGCAAAGTTCTGATCTGAATGTGGATCCCAGCTTCCCCAAATGTTGAAAACTACTAAAGCATTATGTGAGCGATGCAAGTATCAAGGTGACAAGTATCAAGATTATTACTGTAGGGACAAACTGTTTAGCAATGCATACCTTGACTGAAAAGGTGTTTACAAGGCATAGAAAGTTGCTGTGCAATACCAATGAACTGCCAAGTTCAAAAATCAGCCTCAAACCCATGCTGGTGATTAGGGGAATGGTCTACCAATCATAGACTCATAGACTTTAAGGTCAGAAGGGACCATTATGATCATCTAGTCTGACCCCCTGCACAGTGCAGGCCACAAAATCAAATATCTGCACCTGGGATCACTAGAGTAGCATGCTTTGGTAGACTTTTTAACTGGGCAAGGAAAACAACACACTGTGCATTATATATTGTTCTAAAATTATCTGATTTCAAAAGTAGGCAACAAATGCTCAAGTAGTGTAAATTGGTGTCACTTCCCAGAACTGAACTGAAAATTCTTACTTCAACAAAGCTATGCTGATTTGCACAAGCTTCGGGTTGGGCTCTAGATTCCTTCAAATAAAGTAATGCTTAAATCCCAGGCGTAGGACTGCATATGTGCCAGGTTTGGCATCTGTAGCTATTGGTGTTACTAAAATGCAAGTATCAGAGTAGTCTTCTCCATAAAATGAAAAACTGTTTTCCCCCATGCTCAGACAGATTAAAATGCACCCTTCAGAATGGATTTTCTACACACTTCCTAAAAAACTATTTCACCTCTGGCTTAAAGCTGGGCATGAAGTTTCAAACCCAAGAAACTGAAAATCAGAGGTTTTTAAGCACAAGAAAACTGAGACATCTGTTCTAAATTTCAGTTATCATTATTAGTATCACTGAAGATGATTTACGCATCTGTTCTAAATTTCAGTTATCATCATTATTAGTATCACTGAAGATGATTTACAAAGGTGCTCTGCATTAACAGCTTCAATTGTTTTCCCAACCTTCTGAAAACATGGACCATTAATTACAATCATCATCATCATCATCATCACCACCACCACCACCACCACCGAAGCATCCAGAAAAAGGACTTGAATTGCCTTGTGCCTGGAGTTATTCAGAGCCCCTGCCCTGAAGAGCTGTAACTGGAGAATCACAGAACTTAGCTCCTAAACCTGATAGAACAAGGTTTCTGTTTATGCCACTCAGTGAATTACTATGTCTGAACTTGATGAAACCTAAAAAGCTCTGTATTAAAGTTAGTGCACGTGGTTGAAAACTGGCCTGCTCTGTTTACAATTTGCCAGACAGAAATCCTTCTCAGCACTGCTTAGAAGTTGATAGAGTATAAACATTGTCAACAAATAGTCAAGCGCTACAATGTATCAGGAAACGTAAACAATGTTTGAAGTTTAACATTTCCCCTCTTGCCCCAGTGAGAAAACATTCAAAGTTAATCCAGAAGTGACATTCATTACTCCAGAGGCCAAGATATCCGAATACAGAAGGATCATGGCACTCAAGCCTTTATCCAAAGTGATTTTGACATGCAAATTAATTCAATTGCAAAACCAATCCATGATCGCTGGGAATGTACAATTAAAGATTGTATCACCCCATGATGAGAGGACAGCTCTTTGTCTTTAAAGAGGGTGAGGGGGAAAGGAGACACCAGCAAGCTTCCTTCATAGTTCAGTGGGCGAGCTGTACAAATGACACAGTTTACAAGGAAGGTGTGTTGTCAGGCTCCAGCGATCAAACTCACTGGACTGGACTATAATTCATTTTTATTCGAAGTTCCTGACTGTCATCCCAGCTAATTAAAGAGAGAGTTATTGCAGCTCCTCTTCTCAACATGCTCGGCAGGAACAAAGACCATTTCTGCTGAACTCTTGTTACACTGCTTGCTAAGGAAAAGCTGCTTCCTGTAGTAAGACCGCTTTGCGTTTGAAGTCAGCTTCATTCCAGAACAGTGAACCTTCAGAACTGTCCACATACCACAGCGCTAGTTATTGGCACAAGGAGTCTCTGCAGCATTTCTTTTCCTACACAATTAGCTTCCACACTGTTTAAGCACCAAACCTCTGTAAAAGCCTAAACAGGTGACCTATCTCTTTGATGAAGCATTTGTCATCTGAAGAAGTGGGTTGTACCCACGAAAGTACATGATACCATCTATATATTTTGTTAGTCTGTAACAGGAAAAATTTAAACAACACGTAGTCTGGTAGCACTTTAAAGACTAACTCGGCTACCCCTCTGAAGCTTCTGAAAATATCAGTCATGCTTCCCTGAAGTGCCTGGAGAGTGCTGATAACGTGTGGGCGGCTCTGGAGATGTAAAACATTTGGATTGTAAACACATGATGAAGGTCTTAGTGGACATAGCTGAGAACCATCGTTGCTTCTAAGCACTTCTCTAATACAGAGTATAATTTACATAATTCAGAGGAAGTTCTGATTGGAAACTCCCTTTGGGGGATCCATCATTCCTCTGGGGGAAGCCAAGCTTGACACTTGCTGCAGCTTTATCATGTTTCTGTTCACAAGAGATTTTGAAAAATAAGCATCAAACTAAAATTTAGGACTAGGAACCTTGAAACAGTTTGATGGAATTTTGTAAATTTCAGCAGACAGCTATTTTAAGAAAGAAAAGAGTCATATTTTGCTATTTGAAAGGTTTGCTGTCTGATCCACGGGGCCATTTTTCTATTTGTCATTTTACCATCTCGGTTTCATTAGTCATTAATGAACTTGTCTGACTCGCTTGGTTAAAAAGTGCCAAATCCTGCCAGATGCTGTAGTGTCTGTCAGCAGAATGAAACTTCCTGTCTTACCAACAAACAAACAAACTCTTTGAGAAATAGATTTTTTCCCATGTAACTAGGCTGCCTTTAATAGCTTCCCATTCTCTGGCCAGGCTGTGCATTTGGCATCATAGCTGCTTTTTCCTCCAGCATTTTTTTCTCCTAAAGTCTCTATTCGTCTGTCCTGATAAGCAATAACCTTGTTTGAGGAGTGAAACCTATTGTTCTTGCCTGATGGTTTAGGATAAAAAGCAAAATTTAAATCTCCTCATAACCAAACATGAGTCTAAGGTTGGCCTCAGTCTCTGTTTCCTTGTGGTTAAATATTTAAATCACTAAATAAGAAAAATCCAGTTAACACTTTATATTGTCCTTTAATTGTTTCACCTCTCTCGTTTTAAGATATTTATTTGTCTACAGTAACATGAGGGTTCTGCAAAAGCAACAGGTAGATAATTGTTATTTGCATACTGTTGTTCATTGATTGTTTCATCTTAAAATTTCTCAAAGCCAATAGTCCGTGACATATGTTCCCAAGCTCACCCTACAGCTGAAAAATCTTGCCTCAAGCCCCTACAATTCCAGTACATTATCAGGAACTGGTGATAGAATTAACTGAAAAGGCTGATCTAATCTGAAGAGAGATCATGCAAAAATGTTATCTCCCGACTCACCAGATCTGGTTCCTATGTGTATTCAAAGACACTCAGTTTTAATGACAAAAATAAGATTAATTAAAAACTAAGGAATTTAAATGTAATACTAAGCATGCCTCAGGGCTGCCCAGAAGGCAAGATTCCAAGAGATCATGGGTGTGAATAATATCAGGTGCACAGAAGAAAAGCCATATTGGGCCAGACCAAAGGTCCTTCTAGTCCTGTATCCTGTCTTCAGACAGTGACCAAAGCCAGGTGCCCCAGAGGGAATGAACAGAACAGGAAATCATCAAGTGATCCCTCCCCTGTCACCCATTCCCAGCTTCTGACAAACAGAGACTAGGAACACCATTCTTGCCCATCCTGGCTAATATCCACGGATGGACCTATCCTCCAGGAATTTTACTAGTTCTTTTTTGAACCCTTGTTATAGTTTTCGACTTCTCAACATCACACATCCTGCTGTTGGGTGAGTAATCATTGTTTGTACTCTGTCGAGCCAGTTCTCTGCCATACTATTCCCCACCCACCCCGTCGCCTTACACTGTCTGAAAGGCAGCTTCTGGTGGACTGAACACAGAAATGGATCACAAAACTCTGGCAGGGTCAAAAATAGCAGTCCATGGGTACATTCAGAGTAGAACTGAACTAGTAGCCCATGCAAAATGAGAGGCCATGGTTACATCTAATGGACGGGCAATGGACTGCTGACCCAAGTAGCTCTGTGTATTTTTTTAAAATCCCTCTATAATGTCAAATACTGTGGGGAAAGGCATCTGAGAAGATAGAGAGATTGCTAGCTAGTGGTCCCAAATCCTAATTCCAGCTCTAACACTGAGTCACCTGGGGCAAATCCCTTAGTTTCTCTGTGTCTCAGGGCTTGTCTCCACTATGCCAGGGATCGACGCTGCAACGATTGATCCACTGGCTATTGTCTAAGCAGACACGATATATTGATCTCCAAACGCTATCCCGTCAGTGCCAGTACTTCAACAGCCCTCACCGACCTTACCATACTCAAGACACGGGGGTAAATACATCAACTTCAGCTATGCTATATGCACAGCTGAAGTGAAGATTAGATTGACGATGGGGTGGGGTGGGGGGGTTAGCATAGACAAGGCCTATGCGTTCCATTTGCAAAATGGAGACAATTCTGCTTCTCAGCCTCAAAGGGAGCAGGGAAAATTAGGTATTGTGAAGCAGGGGTGTGACCATTGTGAAGATTAAAGGCCTCTACTTAGAATGCGGCTTAGAATGCAGGAGTAACAGCAAACAGAGGCCCGGGATAAACTATCAACACTTACCATCCCATAGAAGGTGTTATCTGTCCAACCCCACCAGGAGGCAGGGAGTAGAAACTAGAGATATCCGATGTTTGGGAAGGACGGTGGACACCTAAGAAGAGGATCAAGACTTTAGTAAGAGAAGGAAATTTGGGAAGAGTAGGCACTAGCATTTCCACGTTTATGGTAGTCAATAGGTTTTCAATTCCTTTATTTACTTCCATTTAGTTGAAGGACAGCATTGGTGACTTGTGAGAAACATGTGTAACAACCATTTTCTCCTATGCACAAGAGTTCCTTTTTAGTGGTTTGGTTGTACCATTAAGGACGTGTTTACACGGCATCGGGGAGTGAGTGTCTCAAGTTGGGACCACAGTTTGTGTTGGCTGGGCTCACTAAATAGACACTATGGCTCGCTCTACAGGTTGGGTGTAAGGGGACTCTTGAGAGTCCAAGCTACAGGCTGACTGCTGCTTTGACCTTGGCGTTTAGCCAGTTATTTTCAGAGGGCTAGGATGAGCCCTGCTACTAACACCATGGACCCAGGCAGGGGAGCGGGGCCTCATTCCCAGACAATGCCCTTCAGGGTAGCCTTTTGCTGGCAGCAGGGCAGAGCGAGGTCCTTCAAATATCACTGCAGAAAAAGGATGATGCTTCTGCTCATGCTTGGGAAATGCACAAGTCACACCACTCACCTGCCCATCAATGCTTTGCACTTCTGTTCCATCCCAGAAGTTTTAAATCCCCATCTCTCTCACCCTCCCTCTCCCCCATCACAGATAAGCTCTTCCAATTGCATCATTTAGGAGTACGAATCCCTTCTCTGTGGATTCTTGTCATTTTGTTGTGTATTCTTGGCTTTTGCCATTAGCTTCCTTCAGGGATGTTCCAGCACGGCTGTTTCCCCAGCAGTACCTTGCTTGTGTACTCCATTTCAGAGAGGTCTGGATTTTAAGGGTCTGATTTTCTGTTTCCCCACAGCCTGTGTGTGCTGCTCCATTGCTGTCAAGGGGCCATAAACTTGTTTCAGCTGGGAATTCCGCTTTGGTAATCGGATTTCCTGAGTGCTCTCACTGCTGGCATGGTGAGAGGAAAGGGTGCGTGGCCCGTGTCTTTATACACTGGTTATTTTCCTTGCTTTCACACCAGCCTCTCTTGGAGCCTTGGGTAGCTGGGAAAAAGATAGAGCCATCTTCAAGCTGCTCATACACTGAGGGCAAAATGGGAATTGAGCTGTTCTCAAAATGAGGGCACTGAAAAACACACACCCTATTCTGTCACACTGCACTTGGACAGGACTGAAACTCAGAACCAGGCTCCAGGTATCTAGACACCTATCTTCAAAAGGGAGGGAAGATTAAGGTCTCCCAGGTGGAAAGAAAGAGAGCGAGTGTGTGTGCGTGCATGTGTGCATGTATATGGGTGCACACATTTATCTGTGTGATGAAGCGAAGTGTGGCCAGGGTGGTGAAGGATGTGAAATGATTGATGCCTTGAACACAGCACTGACTTTCGTATAGTTACCCGGTGACGGCAGAACATCTAATACCCTTCCAGTTATATACCAGCCATTAAAACCTTGAGCTGAAGGACGCTGAAGAGTCATTTGGCCTACCTCCAGGAGGACAGCACTCTAGATTCATGGGCCCTCAATAGAGATTTATGCTGTGGGATCATTAGCAGCTCCAGTGCCAATCTTAATTTTCATGAAAGGACATAGGGCAGCTGCCAGTCCCTGGGGTAGGCTGGTGCTATAGTGTTTAAAGCTTTACATACTAATAGGAACTCTCTGAAGTACGTTTACACACAGCCACTTTTTCAAAAGCCCTTGAGCAGTCATGGAGCTCTGTTCTGCAAGTCATTTTCAAGGGTAGCCTGAAGTAAAGTGGATTGTTTTATATTCCCTGAGGGGCCAAGCAAGATTATTTAAAAAAAGAAGAAAAAAAACCCCAACCTTCCTTCACCACTTTGGTGAGACTTGGAACTTTGCCAATAGCCAAGTTTCTAATAGGTTTTAATGTATTAACTTCCTATTTTTCTGTTGACTTTATAATATGCTAGTGGTTGGCAAGTGATTTGCTGTCTGGAAGAAACATCAGACTTATTCTGGTATCTGTTCCATCCTCAGCAGTCTGTGGCTTTATACTGGTGAGACCAGAATGTGGCCCTTCCGGTTCAAACTGCTGACAAATCAGCATCACCTCTGTACCCACTCCCCTTCCTTGATGGCACATCGTTAGGCAGCTCTCTCAACTCAGCAAGGCTATCATTTTGCAACACGCTCAGAAGCTTTAGAAATGGAGACTATGCAGACTGGTGGCTGTTGCATGAAATTACAGAACATCCCCCTCCCTGCAAAAGGTGAGGAACAATACTGTGTGGGTAGACCACTTCATTTCTTTACCTTTCAATGGGGATGTTTGCAGGATAGCGTCACAGAAAGCTTAGAACGGTAGGTAAACTATGTGGCTTTGATATGTGGGGCTTTGCATGAAACAGCATCTTGTATTTGCACCTGGAGTTTTCTACTAACTTCCAGGTTCAAATGAACTCAAGATCCCGGCAAGAATTTAGGTTGACCCAAATATGTAAATTTTATCTAGATTTATCTGAAACTATGCTTATGGTCTGCCCATAGTTTGTGAACTTCAGCAAAGCTTTGGATGAACTTGGAGGATTTTTGAGTCTGATGCACCAAAGCAGCTTCTTTCCATCAGCCAACCAAAAATGATTTATGATCAATTCATACATACATATTCACTTTCCACAGTACCACATCTAACCTCTCCTTACTGAGCTTTTGTCTGTGCCCTTCCGGAGATGACTGACCGTTGTGTATTATATTAAATAAGAGAAACACAAATGGTTGTCACACAGGTTGACTACATACACTGTTGTGTATTATATTAACAAATAAGAGAAACACAAGTGGTTGTCACACAGGTTGACTACATACACATGGCCGCAGACTGCAAAGAAATCCAGCTACACACCAGACGCAGATCCTAGTTAGTCAAAATATTTCCTGTTTCAAGCATTTATTTTCTCAAAATGACAACCTGACAACTGTTCTGGTATTTGTCAAAGGAAAGGTTACTTTCCATTTTCTGATTGACTTTTGTGAATCATCCCCAAACCCTGGTCTGTTCTGAGGCTATAAAAAGCATTATATTACATGGGGAATTAAGCAAAATGGAGGATTCAGGCAAACACTTTTTGACGTTCAAGTCTCTCTTGATCATGATTGCGGAGCATCCCCAATAAGTTAAATCCCAAGCAAATTTCCCTGCTAGTCCATGCCCACACCTACCCACGGCTCATGGCACTAAATGTTTGCATTGCTGGTCATTTTTTTAAACTGGACATAGGTTACAGAATCTTGCTCTGCTGGAGAAACACTGGCTAGGTAGCAACTCTAATTTCAACAGCTTCTGGCCTCAGCTCTCTTCTGAACCATCATGAGAGCCCCTCCCCCCAATAAGCTTATGTAGGATAAGTGTTACCTTGTTTCTGGCTGATGTCGGCTGGCAGGTGTGGTGAGTGGGAGCCATGGCTGAAATGTTCGTTGCTGTATGGAATGAGGGGGGTGAGTGGATGGACTCCGTGGGACGGCTGCACTACAGGAACCTTGTTAGACTGTAAAAGACAAGGGGATGGGAAAGGCTTCAGAAATTTACGCCTTTGTGCTTCATGATCCAGATGTACTGAATATCTGGAATTAAGAGTCTAAGCCAACACAATTAGAAATGCTATTCCTAGCACCAGCAAAGGCCCAGCTCAGAGACTGCACAGGGTAAATATATATGGAAGCAGCTATTCCTGCCTGCCTAAGGCTCCAAGTGCCCTCCATAGGCCTGGCTTTCAAAATGAGATGCTGAGAATGATAATAAATCCTCTCCAAGACTGAGCAGAACAATGCCTTTACCTAAATAAACAAACCCTGCAGTTCCTTACAGGAAAGATCCACAAAAACAGCAACACTGCTGTGAGCTGTTGTATTTTGGACTATCACTGTCAAATAAAAACACAGTTTCTGATCATATATATATTATTCCCCTGAACAGGCACAACCACCTTGAAGTTTTTGTATTGTGCAGTGGTGATGCCTCTTCTGCATCTCAAATACCTTCTTTATCTCAGGAATGAAATGGAACATGTTAGCAAATGTACGGCTGTGGTAGCACCTTCTATTTGCCCTGTCAGTTCCCTCTGCTGAGGCAAAAGGGTCCCTGCATGCTCCTTCCTACCTTCTCTCTTTTCTAAATCCAAATTTGAACATAAGTATTCCAGACTAAAGTAAGTGACAGGCCCGGTGTGTGTATTTTGGATGCTCGGTGATCTTTTGGAAGATGTGCACTAATACAAAGACTCTCTCTCCAGGGGCTCTTCAGTTTAGCAGACTTGAAGTCTATTATTCGCACACTCAGACGTTGGACAGAATGAGTCAGAGATGATGCGTGGGGAGTGAGGGGACGCTTGCGGTCATGCCCCCACCAGACTTGCTGTTTGGTTTGGACCGAGCATGCTCAGTAAGTTCTGGTGAAGCCACTGCCCTCACTCTGCCCCTGTCTTTGGAATAAGTTTAGTCCTCTCTGTTAAAGCATAAAGTGCTATACTTTACATCGATCCACTTCAACTACCAAATGCTTTCATATCAGCAGAAATAAACACAGTCCCTCGGGAGAAAACTTAAAGAACACATGGCAAAATGGCTTTAAGGAAAGTGATAAACTGGCCCCTCTTGGTTGCCCTTTATGACATGGGGAAAATAATGGCACAGAAAAGTGTGAGACTGAAAGTAAAGAATAAACAGCACAGCTCTGACCTTCAGTGCTAATTTGTAGTTAGCAAAGACACTCCCTGGCTTCAGATTCTGCTAAACCATAGGCAGTTGTCTTTTTGAAGTAGGGACAGGTGGCAAATGTAGTGATTCTGGAAAGAGCACAAGCCCTTCAGCTGCTAGTGAAGAAAGAAAGGAGCAAAAAAGGAAAGGAGACCAATAGGAAAGCAAAAGGAGAATATGTTCTAACAGTCTCTCCAGATTCCTGAGCTATACTTTCGAATATCCAAAGGAAAGACTGTCCTTGAAGAGTCCTAATAGGTTTTACACTAAGTCTAGACTAGAGAATTTAGGCGCTTACAGAACTCTCTGGGTCTAGTTTACACACATACTAGTCACAGATTCTAGTCGTTTTAGGTTCTCAGCACCTCTGAAAAATCAGTCCCAGGATGTTTCTCAAAAACAGAGAAACCCATATTTAGCAGGCACTTTGAAAACATTGGCTTTGAGTGCTATGTAAGTGTTGATCCAGAGAAAATTTCAACAAAACCTATAGCTTTTGCAGCACCAAATGGGGATTTAAATGGGTAACCTTACTGGGTGATGCTTATCGGTAACCAATTAACTGATGTCCGCCCAGCCGGAGTAGCTCCCCCGTGCCACGGGCTGATCCACAGCCTAACCAGGCACACAACACCATGCCCCACGGGCTAGCTGCCCTGACTTAACCATGTAACAGAATTTTGATCGGTTACCCGGTTAATATTTGTACACATTTTTTACATCCCTACCACAAAACCTGAGTAACTTCATGGTAGTCATGGACAAATCTGAAGACTGCAGCAAACAAAACTAATTTCAAAAAAGAAAAATTTCAGTCTCTCTCTGTTACATCCTCAGAACAATCAAGGCCTGAAATCTTTGTGAAATCAGGTTGCTGTTTTAAGCACAATGTAGAATATTTCTGCATGTTGGAGCAAAGAAAAGGGAACTTGTTTAAAACAGTTGCAGTGCTGTAAGAAAAACACACATACAACATTGCTGTTTGCCTAAAGCATGTCTGCTGTTTCATACTTGCCCAGTTTCGCCCACAATTGCCTTTTAACCCAGACTGACTTCTTCATGATTGGGGAAAAATAGTCAGGATTTATCCCAGGGAAAATACATAGACAACATTAGGACGGACAACAGTACAAAATTAGGAGGAATAGGAGTGGGTTATGTACAAATGTTGGTCAGTGATTAAAGCAGGGGTTTCCATATCAGATCATCTGGGTTCTATTGCAGAACCTACACATGATTTGTTTTATAGCTGCAGGCAAGTCACTTATCTCTAGGCTTGATTTGCCGCTGCCTTTCATATGGCTTAGCATTTACACCTGTGCAAGTTGAGTATAAAACACTAGACTTTTCTGATTTCATAGCAGTTTCACACTCCGGCTACGTCTATGCTGTAGCCTTCTTGTGGAAAAGCATATGCAAATGAAGTGCAGCGTGGAATATTGCTGAGCTCCATTTGCATAAGTAATGAGCAGCCATTTTTGCGGAAAAGGCTTTTGCACCAAACCCCCCTCTTGCGCGAGAGCCATTCTTCCTCATTTTTTGAGAAAGAATGGCTCTTGCACAAGAGGGGGATTTTGCGCAAAAAGTCTACATGGCTCGTTTTTGCACAAAAGCCTCTTGCTGCTCATTATTTATGCAAATGAAGCATGGCCATATTCCACGCCGCGATTCATTTGCGTATGCTTTTCCGCAAGGCTACAGTATAGACGTAGCTTCAGTTTGCACAGGTAGAAGAAAATGGATAATCAGGCATCTGTGTCTTGGTTTTTCCCCATTTATAAAAAAGAGGAATAATAATACATAGTCTACAGAAGTCTCGCAAAGCTAAACTTGTACAAAGTATTTTTAAATTCTTGGGTAAAATGCTATGCAACATATATTTATTTCTCTGTATTAAGTGGAAAATAATCTGTGCTAGGAGAAACTGTTACTTCACATTTGTATTTGCTACCAAATGTTTGTTCAAGTAAATAAGAGTGAAAGCAAAGCAACACTTCAAACCTGGAAAGTGATCAGTCAAACATGGGATCTTTAGGTTCTACCATGAAGTACTGAATTTTGATAACTTTGGAACAAGAGATGAGGTCTGGAATAGTTTTTCAGGGATACTTCTGATATTGGGTATAACTGAAGCCTAATTAAGTGCCAGATTTTCAAAGTTAAGGATATGCAAGTGTATATTTACAGCTCCACATTTTTAACTCAGTATGAGTGTGTTTACACTGCACCCTTATTTTGAGATAATTAGCATTATTTTGAAATAATGCGAGTGTCAACACAGCCATTCTGTTATTTCAAAATAATTTTGAAATAACGGACACCTTATTCCAAAATCTATAAACCTCATTCTGCAAGGAACAATGCCTATTCCTAAATAGCTATTTCGAAATAAGGTGTGTGTACAGACTCCACTGCTGCTACTTCAAATAGCCCCTTCAGAAGGGCCATTCTAAGTTACTCCTCCCCTGTCCTTCCAGGGCTCTTAATTGAGATAACACGTCTACATTAGGGAAATCTGCCTCAGACTAATTTTGAAGCTTCCCTGAAGTATAGACAGGCAATTTCGAAATACAGGCAGTCCCCAGGTTACGTACAAGATAGGGACTGTAGGTTTGTTCTTAAGTTGAATCTGTATGTAAGTCGGAACTGGTGTCAGCCGCTGCTGAAACTGATCAGTTTCAACCGCGGCTGAATCCGGATGCCAGTTCTGACTTACATACAGATTCAACTTAAGAAACCCAGGCGTCCCCAAGTCAGCTGCTGCTGAAACTGATCAGCGGCTGATTCCAGGAAGCCTGGGGC